AAAATCACAGCGTTAGGATTGTCTTTATACTTTTCTTGATAATACATTCTCTTTCAACAGTATAAGTCATTTTTGTGGCTAAATTATTGGTGATGGGTTTAATTGCACGTAAGAATGCCCAATTTTTGGCATCATTTTTTTTTATCGAAAAATTATTTTTTTGCCCTAAAATTTGCTACAATTTGGGAGGTTATGGAAACTGAAATTCTATTGTTCTCGTAGCTAGAGGGATGTCCTTCATTTGCAAACGGTGTTTCGGCTTAAGAATTATTTCCTGAAATAGAGTTGAAGGTGTGCAGAATCGAATTGTGACCCAACATAGACTGGGGTGTGCCCCCTTATATGCTTTTGTGTCGGCATACGCCGTCGCCTACGCGGCCTACTTTTAATGTTATTACTGATCCAATTGATCATTATGACATATTGATGGGCACTAAGCAAGTACGTATTCTTAAGTTGCTTTACCACACCTGTTATCTTTCATCATTTTAGTGTAGGTCATAATTTTGTTTACGTAAAGTTTCAGCAACTTGACATGTTCCACCGTGAGTTTCCGGGGTGTATATCCTGACATATATTTGCAAATGGAAGCCAATCCTATTTGTTTCTCTAGGAACGGCTTCAGTTTATTCATGTCTTTTTCTCTCTTTGTCCCGCAGGTGAGCTACGCCATGCCCATACCCACTCCCGGGCTACAAAAGGAATTCACTGGTGAGATGGACAAACAAACACCTGTTATTTTATCATGTAAGAGGGCGTCGGAATTTTGTTTACGTAAAGTTTTAACCACCTTACATGTTCCTCCAGGATTTTCCGCCCTTACCTACAAGTAATATCCTCTCCCCTCTGATAAGACTTACCTGTCCAGATTGATTATTATATCAACAACGTGCCAGTATTTTCCTATCCTACATCAGGCCCTGAGTCATGCAGCCTTTTCTCAGGTCAAATTCTCTACAACAGTACGTGAGGCTGGGTAGAAACTCCAATCTGGAAGAAGGCTATTGTCATGACTTAATAACATATCCTAAATGTTAAACATGCAATGAAATTGCTGGTAGCTGCCGGTATAATTTAAATAGTTTGTGATTGTCGTAAAACCTAAATAGCATGTATTTCTGTACAGTAAAATGTAATGATTGTAACAGCTGAGACTCCGATCAGAATATCTACCGGCAGAGATTCCAATCGGTGTTCCTCTTGAGTCTCTTGGAAGGCAGAAATGGCTTTAATTTATTCATACTCTTTCTCTCTGTGTGCCAGCAGCGAGTGCCCCTCATTCACTCGGCATTCACTGACAAGATGGACTAACAGTACGTTTAGAGAAGGACAAAAACAGCGGTAAGTCCACACATTATATATGTTGTTTCTGCTGATCTGAGAACATGTAGTTCATGTGTTATTGTACTGTAACATCGTTCTTGATGAATGAGCATACATATGACTTTCAACCTTTGTTTAGTTTGATGTGCGCATCATTGCATTCTGTAAAATTTATTGACTCACATGCTTTGCGTATTTGAATTTATGTCTAAGAACATGACCATAAATTATGTTAATTTAAGAGCATAGCTAGGGAAAAGTTGGCATAGATCAATTTATGTTCTGCTCTCTCTTGCTGACCACAGGTAAACTTCGCCAAGTCCATCCTGAGATGCAGGCTACAGCAGGAATTCACGACGCCAAGTTGTGGAAGGATCGGGGTGTGTATGCAAGTTTTTCACGCAAGAAAAATAAGGATTGAATGCAGCAGCATCGTAGCCTGGGTGCCATCCGAATTTGTAATGGCTACGGGCAAATTCGGATGGCACCCAGCCTAGCAGCATCGTGAAAGCAAAAAAAAATCCAAGAATAAAAAAAAGCAATACTGACACAAACACTCGCACAAATGAATAAAATCCCTTACACAAAACATCACTATCATCACATAGTTAAGTTCTAAAAAAATTCCCAGCTATGAATCTGACTTTGGCCGGCGTTGCATAAGCCTGTATCGACAAACAGCTGAGACATCTTGGTCGTCATTAAATCTAGAGAACTTATTTGAAGTACATGTATCGTAAAAACACTGTACAGACTACTGAATGTTTAATGCCACAAGCCTATGTGCAAAGGCTGGTCCCACTACTATCCAAGCAGAGGTTGGTGGGGATGATCGTTAGCGGGGGTAACGATCTTCCCCTCCAACTTCTGCTTGGAGAATAAGTCCCACAAGGTATCGCCAAAAAGCTATTCCCTAGGGAATGCATTGGTGGAATTCTTAGAATATTTTCAACTCAATCGCAGTACTATACCAACGACTCCGCCCATGAGGCGTCGCCGAAAAAAAAGAGAGGAAAAAGATAATCCCTACCTACCGACCCAAATTATTGCAGGACTGAAACAGGAAACACAACATTTTTTTACTAGGCCTAAGGATTGGATGAGAAACGAAGTATGAGTGAGCAAGGATTATAACCATCATGAAAGTTCATCTGTGTTGGTTACTGTTATATGTTTAGAGTTAAAACCTTAGACCCGACACAAAAAGTTCTCTCACCTAGAGCTTTAACGTCACACTTCAAAGAAGCCACGTGACAAGCCTCACTGGGTCATTCTACTGAGGAAGACCAGAGTAACAATGTGACCGCGACGATTTTCAAGCCAAAAATACGCGCGATCGTCGGTCGATCTCAAAATCGGCCGATCTTTCGGCGATTGACAAATACGGCCGAAGCTCGTCGACAATGTGACGGGGGTGTTATGATCCGCTATGTAACAGAGATGTTTTTGACAAAATATAGGATATTTACCTCTAAACTGTAAACAGCCAGAGACATTAGTCCAAAGTGCTCTGCTCATTCCAATAATAATCTGCTCGCTGTTATTTGTAGCTTTGACCATTATGCACATGAAAATCATACTTTTATTTCAGTTACTTGTACCAAAGTGCTATATTATATATGTGATGGCAATAAAATGTGAAGACATCATCCATATGGTTCATAAAATCATATTCATAACCCTTTTGTACCCAGGTATCAATATTCAGTACAACTACAGTTCTTTCTAAATTTTTAAACACCTGCCGACGGAGACCAGTTTCATTACAACTGCCCGCCATCTTTACTCGAATCGGCGGCCAGCTTCGCTTCAGCTTCAGTTTCTGATATTAATTTGTCGCTAGGTGTCGTTTTCAACTCGTTAATGTGCACTTATTCTTCACTTTAAGTCGACATGTCGTCAACACGACGTCGTGTGCGTTACTTTTCTAACACGACGATGAACGTTTCTATCATTCATAAATATTAGAAAGTCATTACAAGTTGTAAAATTATATGGTTACTCTGTTACAAGGTGTTAAACACCAGCGGGCGTAAACCAGGTACAGTACAGCTTCCCGCCATTTTTTCTTCAATTAAAGACGACATGACGTCAAAACGAAGTCGTGTGCGTTACTTTTCTTACTGAAAAATCAAAGTATTGATCATTATTAAGGCATTAAAAGTCATTGCAAGTTGTAAAATTCTATGGATACTCTGCTACAAGGTGTTAAACACCTGAAGGTGGAGACCAGCTACAGTACAGCTTCCCGACATTTTTTCTTCAATTTAAGACGACATGACGTCAAAACGACGTCGTGTGCGTTACTTTTCTTACTAGAATATCAAAGTATGGATCATTATAAAGGGATTGAAAGTCATTGCAAGTTGTAAAATTATATGGTTACTATGCTGCAAGGTGTAAACACCTGAAGGTGGAGACCAGCTACAGTACAGCTTCCCGCCACTTTTTCTTCAATTTAAGACGACATGACGTAAAAACGACGTCGTGTGCGTTTATAAAAATTAATAATAATTGGTTTATTTCAGAAAAGCATATTGCAGCCTGACGGCTGAATTGCATGCTCATGTACAATCAATGGAATTATAGACTTTGACTGAATTTTTAAAACGAGTACAATTCTAAAATCAATATTGCAACGAATTTAAAATCTCATTAAAAGCAGTAATTAAACAATATGCAGTTATATAAACTTAGTCAACTAATATCTGGTGGAAGTCTCGGTACAACAGTAGGCAGTCCATAAAATCGTGAGAAGATTTTATACAATCGTAGCCTAAGCAGTTCATGTGTTAAATATTCGAGGCACAGAGTCGTTACTACTGAGTGTCGTTACTGTAGTAGAGTCTCAAAGTAAAAAGGACATTAAATGTCTTTTGCTTTTACTTCTCATTGACTGGTGCCGACTTCCCCTGCGGAGGTTGTAGTGACTGGGTGGGGTGGTGGTGATGAATCCCCAAAGAGGAGAAGAACTGTCCTGTAAGACACTCTCAAGAGTTCTCAGTGTAGCACTCTCGCGTCTGCTTGCTAGGGTAGGGAGAGCATCAGCAGGTAGCCCGATGATCCTGAGGCAACGCTTCTGGATCGATTCTAGTGAATCTGACAGGTGTTTGGGAAGTCCGCCCCACACCGGGCTAGCATACTCAAGAATAGGCCTGATGAATGACAGATAGATCTGCATTAAGACATCTATCGGGAGCCCCGCCTTCTTAGCAACACTAAGATAATACATTCTAGGTCGAGCTCTGTTCAGCATGTACTCATTGTGGGCGTCCCACGACAGGTCAGCAGAAATTTGAACCCCGAGTAGTTTGAAGGAGGTGCACGTGACTCTTTGAATCACCTGGACAGATATTGTGGGTTGGGGAGGGATAGGTACATTGGGCTCCTTCCGTGCACTTATAACCATACTTTTCACAGTAGAATATCAAAGTATCCATCATTCATAAGTACGAGAAAGTTATTATAAGTTGTAAAATTATATGGTTACTCTGCTACAAGATGTTAAACACCTGACATACCTGAAGGTGGATACGAGCTATGGTTCATTTTTTGATGTCTCTTCTTCAAGTTAAGACATGACGTCATAACGACGTCGTGTGCGTTACTTTTCTCACCAGTATATCAAAGTATGAATATATAAAATGATAGAAAGTCATTACGAGTTTAAGAATTATATGGTTATTCTGATAGAACATGCTGAACACCTGAGGATGGAGACCAGCTACGCTACGGTACAGCTTCGGAGTTCCCGCCATTTTTTCTTTAATTTAAATGGCGGGAAGTTGTACCGTAACTGGTCTCCACCTTCAGGTGTTTAATAATCTCCAAGCAGATCTTTTGGTGGGGGTAAGACAGTATCAAATTGGCCAGTCTGTAACCATTTCCCCACCCAAGATTTGCCCCCAGTCGAAACGTCAAAGGCTATAAACACCTAGTTGTTGCCTGATGAAAATATTCTTGCCAAGTAGTTTATTGCCCTGACCACCAGGCAAGGCTCTTGCCCTCCTAGTGGGCCAGCTGGTTGAGCATTACTCTCTATGGGTCCCCTCACCAACTGTTATTTTGTTCAGTTTAACTAAAGGAAAGAAGGTCCAACATATTTTTGTGATATCTGCGGTTTTGAACCTCAATGAGCCCAGTTATTGACATTTCTATGTTTCAGCCAGCATATTTTAGTACCAGCATACAGTATTATCTGGACAGGGTTAGGCGAGAACTCCCACTGAGATGTGCGCGGGTGACTGCATTTGTCCCAGATTCAAGCTATAAACCGCTTGTAAAAATCTTAGCACAGCAATTTTTTGCTAGTTGTTAATAGGGACACAAGGAGGGGCAGCAACACCATTTTTGAAAAGAAGTGCTCCTCCCTGTTCGAGTGCCTGCAGATCTTGGGTGGGGAAATGGATACATGCTGGCCAATTTGATACTGTCTTACCCCCACCAAAAGATCTGCTTGGAGATTACATTAACAGCGCAAATGAAGATAATGTATAAGGAGGAAAGCTAAGATCATGGTCACATTTCCAAGCCGGGGCCCGGCTGGGTTGTTGGCGTGAACGAAAAATAATAAAAAATTGTACTAAGACTAAACACAAATAGTGCTCATGGTTAATTTTCTAAAACGTTTTTGTGCTGTGCTGTCTTATATCATAATTTTCGTTCCATGTGACTGCCCGGTCGGGCCCCGGGTTGGCAAATACAGAATACTAGTATATGTCAGCGGGAACATTGAGGTTTAACTATTCTCTAACCTGTAGTCTCTGACTTAAACAATCGATATTCTTCAATGTATTTCTGTAAGCTGACCGTCGTCAAACGCGGCCTATTTGTTACATTGTTTCCTTTGGTATACTCTTGCAGAGCAAATGTGTAGCAAGTTAACGCTCGTCTATATGTAGCAAGCCGCTGAAATACATTAAAGAATGTTTAGATTCTTAGAGACTACTGATTAGAGAATAGTTAAACCTTGTTATTCCCGCTGACATATATCTGTACGTAGTTTGCCGCATAAATATATTCTGTACGTAGGATGACGTTATTGCCTTCGTGAGAAGGTTATAATATCAGTTTGCTGTGGGGTGGGGCACTGTGGATTCAGCGGAGTAACTCTTGAAGGCATGGCTCGACGTTCATAATCTTTGGCAGGCAGGTTACCGTTGGGCAGACCAAGGCCAAGTGTTAAAAATGGGCCTCGTGGGGGGGGGGGTCCCTACTTTGCAGACGCTAAATACTGTGTACTTTCTCCTTTCTTGCTTCCAAAATTACCCGGTATTCCTTTTCCTATGTCAACATTTATCGCATTATGACGTGACACTATAGTTATTTTTTAACAATATAAAACTTTACAAAATTAATTTTATACCGCAGCCAAAAGCAAGGGCAGCAGACAAACTCTTGTAAACCTAAGTTAAGTAAAGAACTTTGTGTAAAGTGCCTTCCAAAGGGCACAGCATTCGTGTTAAGTAATTTTCCCAAAGGTACAGGATCAGTGCCGTGGCTGGATTTTAATTCGGGACCTCTTGGTTCTGAGTCGATTGCGCCGTCGTTGCGCTACACGACCCCACTGGGAACCAAAGATTAAGAAATGAGGTGGATACGTACTGTTGAGGTTAGGCCATGTTGATTTGATTATATGGATGACATCCACCTGCGCATGAATTTTCGGCCGTTTACCAAAAAAAAAAAAAATTCAACCATACTGTAAATCGTACAAAACAGTTGGAAAATAAGCAAAAATATACCGTTAGTTACAAAAAAATAAGTAAAAACTATACCAATGTCGTAGAATGCTAAAATCAAACGAAAAAAGATGAAATTGTAAGGAAATGAACTTGAATATTAGATTATTCGCCAAACCATATTCTGTCCCATTTGTTCAACCCTCATGACCACGTAGATTTCACAATGAAAACTAACTTTTTTTCTAAAACTTTTTTTATTTCGCACGCGCGCATCAGTTTTGGGGCTCCCGGAGGATGTCATCCATATAATCAAATCAATGTGGCCTTACCACACAATCGTACCTCCTGTCGTTCTGTTCTGTAGGCAGTCGCTTCGCGGCTCAACGACTTGTTGGCTCATCAGGAAGAGTTGGCGGCCCGTCAGAACGAGACAGCTGCTGTCCTGAAAGAGTTGGCGGGCCGTCAGAACGAGACAGCTGCTGCCCTGAAAGAGTTGGCGGGCCGTCAGAACGAGACAGCTGCTGCCCTGAAAGAGTTGGCGGCCCGTCAGAACGATACAGCTGCTGTCGTGGAAGAGTTGGCGGCCCTTCAGAACGAGACAATCGCTCGACAAGACGAGCGGTTCGCCGGTAAGATTCACCCTCCACCAGGCCTTACTAAGTGGTTATGGACTGCAGGATTCGGCTAAAATTGGGTCAGGTGGAGACTAGATAAGATTGGCATCTGCCTGTAATTGTCATTTATGTAAACATAAGGTGTTAACTGGCTGTGTAATAGTAATGTTTGTTAACTCCAGATAAACATCTAACACCAGGGTTAAACCTGTATGTCGTGATTATATGTAACTTCATTTGCATATTCAATACTTGTATGGTAAAGCGGCTTCTAGGTTGCACCATCCATCATGGCGGACATTCGTTGTGTCAAGTCTAGTCACGTGAGTGCGAATACTTGTTACTACGGTACGTAAACTTTAAAGGACAGCTTGTGATATCGTCTTTAAGGTGACATGTCATGTAGCATTTTTCCCCGTCCTCCGGAACTGTGTACCGGATTCCCGTTCCTTGATGCTCTGCCGGACTAGGCGGATGGTCGTGTCAACCAACACTATTCCGGACGGCAGCATCAAGGCATTTTCTTTCCTCCGGAACTTTTTACCGGTGCACTGATATCGTATGTTATTTTCCGTTCTTAGAGTTCTGCCGGACTAGGAAGATGGGAATGTCAACCGGTTCCATTCCGGACAGCAGCATCACGGCGACTTCCGCATACGACAATCGGTTTCTGGCGAAAATGGGAAGATTTGGAACCAACCGCAAGGGGTGGCTAGCAAGGTCACAAAATATGGACGCCGAGTGGATGAAGGTAGCTATGAGCCTGTAGGCTGTCAGGGGATGTTATAATTTTGATGGAAATGACGTACTTGACGACGATGACGTACGTATCAGGACGTGACGTAAATGACGTACGTGTTATAACACGGCGTTCTGATCAGTTACCACACGGGCCTGCGAAAGTTCTACAGAATATTTCGACCACTTTTCACGCTCGTGAAAGTCGGATACCAGATTCGAAGGTTGAAATTAAAGTTACTACTCGTACATGTAGAATTTACAAGACAGTGTATTCTGTATCAGTCCGACTGCGGGTCGACGTCGGATGACCTTCCGGCGTTTTGCCGATTCGTCCCGCGGGAGGGCTTGTACCTTATAATTATGTGATGCAGAACAAAATGTGATGTGTATATTTCAAACCTTAAGCTAATAACCTGCGCAACTACAGGTGGACCTGGGACAGGAGAGTCGGGTGTATGGTGTGGTCACTCAGGGGCGTGTGGACTACAACCAGTGGGCCCGGACCTACAAACTGTCCTTCAGCCAGGATGGAGAGAACTGGACCACCTACGCCAACTCCGACGGATCAGACAAGGTCAGATCTATTGTGCCCAGAACCGTGCCTATATTGTTCTATGCCTAAATGGGTTAGACACGGTTCTGGATGGTCTCAAAAATTTGCTTCAGGTGTGGTTCTGGCTGAACAGGCTTAAACCGGATTCTGGTTGTAAAATGCCCCACCCTTTCTACAGAACCGTCACCGACTCTCCTAAGAGAGATCTAGGCTACTTATATTTACGTCTACTTTCAAATTCCTTTTTTAAAATTATTTTTACAGTATTAAATTGTATCCTCGGCTGCCAATTTCATACGGTTTTTGCGAGTTTGATACTGACTTGTCAATTAAAGACATATATTTCTGATTTGATACTGTCTTGTATGTAGTAACCAAAAGACCTGCTTGGTGCCTATCTGCATTCCTGAATGAGGTTTACTAGGGTTATTTGTTTATTAGGGTTAGGGTCAGCATAGTTCTAGATAATCGTTTCTTATCACCAGTCATGGATGTGCGCGGACTATCTAGAACCATACCTGAGGATTGTTATAGAGAAAGCACGGATCTAGATCCGCCAGAACCGTGCCTGAGGTTCGTTATAGATAATGCATGGATCTAAATAGACGTGTAATATCTAGCCAGGGTACCATCATGGTTAGTTTACGTCCGCTCGCGGACGTGAATTAACCAGGATGGTACCCAGACTATGTAATATCCGGAGCCGTGCCTTGGGATGAAACACGGTTCAGTATATTCTGTAATCATTTATATCACGATGGTCAGATTTGGGCCCAAAAGTCCCACTCCGCTACTATGGAGATCGAATCCCCCGAACCCGCGAATCTTGTTCGATATGACGTCATTCGAATAGAGCGGGCGTTCGATCTGGGGTTACCCGCGGTCATTTACAGTAAAGCCGCTACAACCGGCTACTTCAAGCCCTTTTTTACTTGGGAACCACGGAACAGGAAAAATCCACCTTTCCACAAATATGAACCGTTTTCAAAACATTACATCTATGCCGTGATTTTATTGTGGATATGTAACATGTAACGAAGCTACTGCCGTCATCGTGGGTGACCTTGAAGGTCAGAATTCTTGTTGACGCTGTTATAAAATCCAGGTCCCCATATCCAAGTGGCACAGCATGCGTGCAAACATGGTATTTTAACTATTCCCAAAAATCGCTCAAATTACCTCATTGAGGGCTTGTTTGGAAGAAGAACGATTTCCGCAGATTTCTGTCTTAGGGATTTTTTAAATATGGCCGCGATTATGAATTATCGGTATTTAAAGTTAAAACACTGCGTTTTTAGCTCTTCTTTTGACTGTAAGTCGAGTTTTATTTAAAAAATAAAAAAATCCTAAGACAGAAAGTTTAAATTTACTGTAATATTTCTAAAAATCGAAAAATTTAACCTTATTTTTGATTTTCGGGGCCTCTTAAAATCAGTTGTTTGGTTCTCGTGAACCCTTTTTGAAATCCGAAATTGATCTCATTTGGAAGCAAATGTACACAAAGTGGAGCAAAGGCAGTGCAAGAATAACATTTGAGGTAAACAAAATCACTTATTACATTTTATTTTGACGAGTATTTACTCTCCAATTACTTTTGTTTATTTTCAAATTTTACCCGTTGCCCCCGGGCCGGCCCGGGACTCCCGCGCGGCCACGTTCGAACACGTTCTGTAACCCGATACCTCCCTAGTAATGCGACTTTTAGCCTAGCAACCGACCGCCGTGTATGTTGAAAACGAGATACACTTTCTACTTAACTGTACATAATGATATGATAATGACATTATATAAAGATGAACGCCAAGAACTATTCGATACTTTACAAATAGACAAGTAATGTAAGAAAATGTCAAAGCAGTACATGTTTAAACACTTGATGTCATACAAGAACGAATTTAAAGTAGACAAACTATATAATTATGTTTCCAAATGTTTCAAAAAGAGAGAAGAAAGGGCAACTAACAGGGGACCCCAGAAAGTGCGAAATGGAACGAAATGGAACGAAATGAAACGAAATGAAACGAAATGGAACGAAATGGAACGAAATGAACGAAGTAGATGATAGGTAGTTTATAGTATTATTGTAATGTATAGATTTCTAGCACTTTGCATCAGAATATAGCGTCGCAGTATGAAATACTCATGTTTTGCATACTGCATGTCCTCTTGTGCATTTAGCCCATCTGGGCAAGAACATGCAATAAAGATTCATATCATATCATTAAAGCAGATCCCATCTCCTTACGTGTTACCTCAGGTGTTTGCCGGAAACTATGACCGGAGTTCGCCGGTGTATAACTTCTTGGACAGGCCTGTGACTGTGCGGTACGTCCGGTTCCACCCTCGCACCTACGCCTCGCGCCCAGTCATGCGGGTGGAGATCCTGGGCTGCCCTACCGACATGCTGTAGGTGTTGGCACTCACGTGACTGTGACGTCATCACCGTCTGCCATGTTGGATGATCAAAGCGAATATTATGTAACATGATTTTTCTTTACAAAGTAAGCTGTATCAACACTGCACCACAACATAGTGCCACTTGGAGTGAACGTGCTAAAGTATTACGCTGCACAAGCCTGTTTTAACCCTGGAATCTTGTCAAAACTTTGTTTGCATTCGTGTGGTGTGTATTTTGTGATGTTGTCATAGAATGAATGCGCCTAATATAGACTGTTAGCGCGGTGACCATGAATGTTAGAAATGTGAGATAATGATGTTAATGTGTTTAAAGGTGATGGTAAAGTGGTAATCACATCGACTCAAAATATTTCCCATTGTCAACGGAATATTACATCATGTCATTTTAAACGATGTAGAAATGTGTTTCTCACATCAGTTCTTGACAAGGAAGGTTGGTACTGCGTCGATTGATTGTAATAATTTTCAAATTTACATATATATTAAGAAGTACATATTGTAAGGTAAACACTACTGAAGTAATATGTGACATATTAAGCGGTTTTATTAAAATTATCACTTCTATCAGTATACCATATCGAGTTTTATTCCCAGCAAATTCAACTCATAAAGTCATGTTTGTATGTATGTATATATGTGTTTCAGTGTGTGATTATTCTCTGACAATTATAAGTATGAACTTTTCCGGCTAATGTTTAACTTTATTCATACGCAAAAACTCACCATACCTTTTCGGTCGATCTCGTCAACCATCGTCAGCTGTTTTACGCACTTGCTGACTCTCCGGACGTCGGAAGCGTGATGACGTCAGGAGTGAAAAGTGGCGGGAAGACGGAATCTCCCACCGTCATGGATCAGATGAGGTTGATGAGCCCTGAAGTAAATTGCTTCTTGCACATTCCTCGCAAAGCAATCCCTTTTTTTTCATGTCAGGTATGCATCTGTACCTTATGTAGCGTTACTGTGTGACCCGGCGAATCGGTATTTATTCGTAGAACTTTATTGCACGACAACCGCATATGGTACAATGTACGGAAAACTACATAAAGAGAGTAACAAACAATAAAAAAATGAATGTTGGATAAGACCTAGTGTCGAATAAAACCTAACATATCTTAACCCTATCTAGACCGGGGGGGCTAAAAGTGCCCGCGCCAACTTTGATGTCACATAGCGTCCGAATGGCTAGGGCTAGAATGACCAAACTTGGTGACTTTTCCTAAAATATTGTTGGCAACAATTTTCTATCATTGGAATAAGATAATAATTTTTTGTGTTGCCATGGCAACGGGTTTCTGACAGGCATTTTTTGCTAAATTTAGTAATTTTTGTTTCAAGAATAGAATTTTATGGGTTTTATGTCAAGTTACTCATGGTTTCTAATATTAATAACATCCCATATGAATTTATGTAAATTTTATCATTAAATATGCATAATTTATGCTAATTTGATGACGCCATTGGCCAAAATCCAAGATGGCGGACCATATCATTAGAACAGGTATATACAAGTTATTTTCCTTAAAATTTCATCCATACTTCCATTTCTTTTTCCAAAAAAAGGTTTAAATGAAGGTCTTTGGTATGTTTACAATGTGTTTTAGGCTTTATCACGAAAAAAAACTATTTTTTGAAAAATTTCAACATTGATGATCCAAGATGGCGGATATCTTAAATATGTATGACGTCATTTTATGACGTCACCGGTGTTGCTATGGGCAACATAAGACTTAGTACACTCTAATATTCTGTCATAAACACTTTTGGTAAAGTTATGTTGAATACTATTTAGTTTTCAGGGAATAGCCCATCTAGACGGTTTTGGCCATAAAATGCCATTAATGACGTCATAATGACGTCATAATACGTCATAATGGCATCAAAATTGTAGATATGATAAATTTTAATTAGTACACCATCCTCTGAAAATTTGGTAGCCATACGACATACCGTTAGCGAGTTCTGAGGGGGGCCGAAAGAGCCCCCCC